ACCAAACAAACCGACATTACCTCACTATTGTATAACCATAGGCGCATATCTTCTTCCTTTATACGTAGCCTCTGGGAGAGATATTCATGTATCTCTTTAATTGTTTGCATTCGACTAAAGCAGCCAGTGTAAGCCAACACTCTTTTTAAAGGAGCATTCGGTGAAGGTACATTCCCTGGATTCACAATCATAAGAAAAGGGTAAAAGATAATGTATATACCCGTAGGCCAACTGAAATCAGATCAATAATAACTTATACACTACATACACTGTAAGTACTTTTTGTAAAAAAGTACACAGTTCTACTCCTTTTGCTTATGGATAAAATTATGAGTTAGATTGAAAGCTAGTTGTTACTAATCCCGTGGGACAACAAATTTGCTATCAGAAAGCAGATAAATTTACTTCCCTTCTTACCAAAACCTATTGGAAAATTGCTCTCCTAAGATTCTCATAGGGAATAAATAATTTAATAGTAGTTTTAAAACACTATTCTATTTTTCTCTTAAAGAGAGAGTATCAGAGACAATGCTAATTTTCAAAATTTCATGACAATTTTCTTTTTAAAAGCACACTGCAAGTAAAAAATGATTAAAAAAAAAAAAATCAGTCTGTTCTTGGAAGTAGCATAACTTTGCTCCAGCTCTTCTATGGAGATAAATGCTGATCTGTGAAGATGAAATCAGCCTGGCAGTTTCACAATAAAAGTATTCTTAATAACTAAATTCCTCAAAACATATTCTGTGAAGATGCCTAGGATTTTCACCAGAATTTCTCAACAATCTCCTGTTTGCAACACAAACTAATTCCATGTCGAGATTGTTGCTGTTTTCTATAACATGAGCTCATCTTTAGATAAAACATTTGCACAAGCTCAGTTTCAAAGAGATGAGACCAACTTTACATGCTTTATTTTTTGAGCTTCTTTAGTTTAAACTTAGGAAGTTCCCCACTCCTCACAGAGACAGGTCTGTAACATATTCATGAAAAGCTTTTATTATACAGCCAAACCCAACCCAAGACAACTGCGTTACTTAAGTAACCAGAAAAGTGACATTGTTCCACTTTCACTGTCAAAAGATTAAAATAAAATAAATAGTACCATATCAAAAGATGCAATATTACATGCAATTTGACAAGGGAGTAAAACTATACTGTAATCATCTTAAAAGTCAGCAAAGCATCAGTTTTGCTTCAGTATACCAAGCAAAGTACTCATTGTTTTTAAAGAACACAAAAAAGCATTTTCTGAGATTAGAGATCAGAGGATTAGTTGTAAGATTACAGCAAGAAAGCATATTTGAAAACTCAAAAAGATTAATAACTGATTGGACAAATAAATTAGTGCAGAGCAAAATAATTCCAAATCAAGATCAAATCTGGCACATCAGAAGATTCTCTTTATTTGAATTTGGGCATTTTAGGATGTCCAAACAAAGTGGTTTCCATTTTATTAGGTCTAGTAGGAAAAATGAATTTGGGTAGCAGGCAGTTTCTGTAGCGGAACTTGATCAAGCAGGCAGCCACTATCTACACGTTAAGTTTGAGATTCTATCAAAGCAGTGAAAAATTGAGCATCTGCATCAGAGTTTTAAAGACAGGCTAACGCTAGCACGGCTGAGGGATTTAATTTTCAGTAGTCAGGTGAGCCCATTTCTGGACATACGTTACTGTGGATGCATATGTATATCTGTGTGTATCCAAACGCACATGCATATGAACATTAGGCATTTCTTCAAACCTGTTGTGCAAGGCAAGTATGCAACTGTGCATACAAACCGGTAACTGAAAACAAATCCTGTAACACTTTTCAGCTGAAATGTGAAGCAGCAATCTAAAGATTATTTTTTTAGCCCATTACTTGTACAATCTTTTGGTGAGCATTACCACCACAATTACGGGACATGTATTTTAGTTGGATGTTTACAGAATAATAGTGTAATTATTAAATATCGATATTTGATACTATATTAAATATAGTATCAAATAATAGTCTTCATATTCCATTAATTCAATCCCTTTCTAAAGAGTATGAAATAATTTGGGGCATTAAAGCCTAGCTGCCCAAGTAACTCAGAACCAGCTGGCTGAACAACGATTTAATTTATTATACCACTGTACTATCCGATACACACACCCACCCCAATGCACAGGTGCATCTATTCTATGGCTACAAAATTCACTACCAAGAGGATTAATCGGATCTGCCCTTCTCAGCTGTTTAGTTTATGCGGTGCTCATTTCTCACTTTCAACTCACCAATCTATTTGCGACTATGCGACTTAACTGACTTCACTGAAAATGCTCCCTCATGCCTCTTCCTTTCAAGAGAAGATAGGAGGAAAGCCTTTAAATCTTTACCAAATGCTGATTGTGCCTTACAGTTGATTAGCTGGTGTACAAGCACAGTGGCAGCGAGCTTCTATAGCTGTGGGTCTCGCTTTCTTAGAAACTGCACACTTGTATTCTTGCTGCATTCTTAAGTTACCTCTAGGTAAATGCTGAGGAAACATTCTCAGGCTCATCATACCCATATTCACCCAGATGTTTGACTGCTGCGTTCGAGTGGCAGGCTGCTGTCTCAGGAAGAGCAGATAGCGAGGAAATAACTCTAGTTCAGGCACATTTGTTTTGCTGTTTTTGATCACCTAGTAAAGACGTTTAAAACACATTTTAGAGACTGCTGTTCCAAACGTGTAGGAAATCCCAATAGGAAGAGGAAGTAATGATTAAAGCAGATGGTTAAAAAAATAAACTATGTTTTACTAGGAGAGGCGAAATCCTCTGAACTTCTTACGGGGTCTTAGGCAAATATCCACAGGAATAACAATTTACTGATTTCTAAGCACTTTTTGAAGCTTATTAGTTGCAGATTGTCAAAAGCAAACGCCTTATTTAGTGGAGCATAGCTTCCTGTACACCACCATGGAAAGAACACTTTTATAATTCCTGAAATATATGTGAATTTACAATGAAACTCATTAATTCTACTCAGTGTATACTTCAATATCAAAGTTTCACAACTGTTAAAAAAAACTCGCACATGCTGAATAAGACCCATGTTCTGAACTTTTTGAACTATAGGATTGAATTAAACCCTTCATATCGTAAGAACAGACTGAAACTTACTTTTGTTGCATTTTGGTAAGTTGACAGAAAAAGCTGCAATTACCCCAGAACACGACTTGCAGCTTTTCAGTCACCATTTCTATGAAGATTTTGCTATCTAGATCTGCCCAAACGTAGACATAAATAAATGACAGGAATGTTCACTATTTTTGTGACCATGTGAAGCAGAAGAAAACACTCAGCTTACGTGGTGAGAAGCAGTATAATGCACCGAAGTGCCATGGTATTAAACTTCAGTTACAACAACAACAACAGTGACGGCATTTTCTGGAAAGAAACAACATAATAGTCCCTACTGTGGGGTGGGAGACTGGGACTGTAAGTGCCTGTATACATGGGTGCAAGTAACCAAATGGTCTTCAAGAATTCAAGTGTTCAGATAACTAAGCGTCAAAATATTCCTTAATTATGGACTGAAAAGCTAAAGTTTATACATATATTATTTATATTTATATTTTTTTTCAGACAGGATACCCAAACTAAAATCCTCTCATTGTGAATAGATGTCTCTTTTCTAATGACCCTATCACAAAAATCTCAAGCACATTAGTTTGTGCTGTGTACAAAGAGATGTGGCCTTTGCTGGATCATGAAAGGTGTTTGTTTCCATGGAGAATGTGTGGGAGGAGGGTAACAGAAGCCAGTGATTTTTCACTGTAAAATAATTGCCAGTACTACAGCTAACAGACCAAATCATCAAAAATCATACAGCTAATTCTCTCCCATTTGTGACACCAACCACCTAATCTCTATTGCTACCATCAAAAAAAAAAAAAAATCCCCTCACCTCCTTTTTTAAAGTGTAGCTCCTATAAGAGACTACCTGACACAGAATAAACCAACCGCTCAACAGAAATTAAAGAAAGTTTCCAATGCCTCTAAGTGAACAGAGCAAATCACTTCAATTTTTTTTGCCTCTAACATTAGCCTACTTTTTTATAAATTCAAAATTAATAATTCAAGGCATGCCAGCTTTAGATCCAAATGATTATGACCTGTTAATCGTTTTGCAATATTACACACGGAGAAACAGAGAGATAAATCAATAAACTGTGAGTAAATTACATGATTTAACAATGACTATTGCTATATAATTACTGCTTCTCTTCCAGAAATACTGTTGCTGTTTTAACTGCAACCAAAAAAATCTCATTGGGATAACATAGACTAATTATAAGTCCACTTAGGCAATTCCATTTAATATATAGCACTTCCACATTTGAAAATTATATTCTGCAATACATTCTGCATTGTGCCCAGAATTATTTTTTAATTAAAGATATTACAGCTTAAATATAGAAAATACTAGTGTTAGTTACAGAAAATGAATTTCAGTTCTTCAAGGTTTTTTTTCTTTTAACAAAACTTTTATGCAAACAAGTACAAAGATCACCTTACCTTTGATAGACTCTTTCTAATTAGTTAATTTTATTGCAAGGTTTTAAGTGACTACAGGCAACTAGATAATTGTTGATATAAAAACACAGCAAAACAACGCACAGATAATTGTTGATATAAAAACACAGCATTACCAATTTGCAAATACATTTTTTATTACACAATGGAAACACTTAATTGTTTGTAAAACTATTTCACAATTTTATTGTGATTAATTGGCTTTTCTGCTTACTGTCAAGTGTAAGAAATGTAAAAATTCACTACATATGAGTTATTTGCTGACAAATGAGTATTCCATACGTTTGGATGAGTGCTACTGATTTTGTGCTGAAGAATGAGAATGATCATCACTTGCCTCGCCAGTAAGATTTTTAGTTACTCATTAGAAAAAATAAAGGCAATTATCATAATACTAGAAGAAGAACGACACAAAAGAACTATTTATTTTGAATATGTGATCTGCTCAAAATAACAATTGGTATTCACACAGCCACGATACATAACACTTGCAACAAAAATCAAAACTAAAGAATTAAAACAAGAAGAACCACCTGACTGGATGAGTGTATCAGGTGAGATTACTGGTCTTTGCCTTTAGCACTGAAAATGGTTAACCAGAATCATGCTGATTCAGCCTTAGATAGTAGATGCCAACTCAGTTTTAGCATGTACATCTTGAGGAATTGCTTATGATAAATGCTTTATTGAAAAACCTTTGACTAGAAGCTGAACAACTTAACCAGTCTGTGCAGTACTCAAAAGCTGATACGCTCATATGCAAATTCTTTTTAGAAATATCTACTCCTGCTGCCTTTTAGATCTTCACCAAATCTTGCACGCTGTGTTATCTATGACACTGAACTTGAAGGACAGCAATTGTTACCTTCCCCCCACTTCATGAAATTGTAGGAGAGAAGAAATGCATCTTCAAAGCTGCAGGTGTCCCAGTTTTCATTTTATTGGTTTTGCAGACCAGTTGAAAATTTATCTTAGCTTTTAAAGATGAGCGTTTTGATGCCAAGTCTTTTAAACTGATCTCAAGTTTACTTTTGTCTGCTTTAGCAATCATGATCAGTTGAGCAGCACTTCTGCCCTGTTGCAGTATCTCCTGGGGTTTGTGCTGCAAACCTCCTGGTAAATATCCACAACTTTCTATCCATGTCCATTTCTGAGACTGCTTTTTCCCAGCTTGCTCTTCAAGACTTTTCATTTAGACTATCCATTTTGGATGAAGTGGGAGATGACCATAAAAGATTACCTTGTGCAACTGGTAATTGGACACATTAGCCTGTTTATATTACCTCAGTGGCTATGGCAAGTAAACAGTGTCTATAATCACAACTTACCGGTCTGGGCAAGGACAGATTTGCTCCATACCAATGGTAAAGTGCTCTCCAAACTGGTTCTGGTACCATTATGTAGTCCTTTCCTTCAATCAACTGTGGAGATCGCTTTAATCTTCCACCCTCCATTGTTAACGATGCAGCCTTTAAACAAAAAGGGATTTTGTTAAATCTCAAGTGCAAAAAATAGTATACAGCTACAATGATTTTAGTTCATGAACACAGAACACTTTTTAATTATTAAAAAAATTTTAAGTAGCAATTAGCAACTGCTTTTCATACTGAAAGATGGCATTTAAATGTAACAATAATTAACACTCAAGTTTCACTAGTTACTATTTCTCTAAAAGGCTCTCCAATATAGAATTTGTATGATCTTTCTCTCATGTCACCTACTCCAACAACTTCAGATACTGCATAGAGAAATCCAATCTATACTCATCATTGATGGTGCTGGTCTGTGTTTTATGTTTTGTTTGCATGAATACTGGAAAAACTATCAGTTTTGTTTTACTATTTAATTAACTATTTTCTGTTTTTAAGCAATAGCAATAAACTCATATTTAGATTGAAAACACTGAAGAAAAGTGTTTAATTATTAAAATATTTTACAGTTAATGCTGAAAGTTGTGTTTTCATAAATGCCTTTTTCATTCCTAAGTTTTGTGAAGCTGTTTAAGAGCATTTTGAATGTTTTTCTTCTCACAAAACACTCAATAGTAGCCTCAGAAACAGAACACAATTTTTTCCTCTTAAAATAAAAGAAACCCAAACTTTGTAATATGACAAAGCAGTGTTAGTTTAGAATTAAGCCACTACCTGAAAAAAAAAAAAAAACCACATAAAAAGCTATGATAAAAGTATGCTAAAAGATACTTTTCCTATATTCACATGACTCAGATGCATTTACCTTCACTGGTTCTTGCGTTACTAGGGGCTGGTTATCAATAGCTCCTGGTTTCTGAGGATTAAGCTGTAGTAAAGTATTCCCATTGGTTCCAAGGAAACACTGGTTATTATTGTCCGAAGTATTATGCTGCCTAGCAAAACATACATCATCTCTATTTCAGTTCATGAGTCCATAACATAAATAAATCAGTTAAACTGTTGCATCCTCTTTTTTTCGTTGTTTTTAAAAAAGGCTGTTGAAGAAGTTTGCTATCCTTCATACTTCAGGAAAACATGCAACTCTTCCAAATTACAGAGTGACAAATGTACTAGTGCTCTCAGAAAAGATAAAGAAGTAGATAAATGAGATCCAAATACCAAAGCAGATACTTACACAAATGCTGGTTTGAAAATAGCCTAACAAGGTTTGCATGAGCAAATGTGTTTGACATTTGCTTGTTGTCTGGATGTTTGAATATCAAACTCTTGAAAATCTTATATACAAAACTGAATATATATGCAATAATGCCTTCTTTTTATTTTTTCCTCTTGAAACAGAAAGTATTTTTATTCTTATAGAACCTCCTTTTGTTATGCAGAACACTAAATCTAAATTTCAGGTTAGAAAAAAGAAAGAACCTTTAATCTAAAACTCATCTCCCTTCCTGCCCTTCCTCTATTCCCCAACCCCCAACCCAAAAATGATCGCAGTCATTTATCTACTGTAAACTGAAGCTACAATTTTAAGATACAGATTTTAAAATACCAGATGCAACATTCAGCTGTCTTATAAGGAAAAAAAACATCACCTCAAATTCTCACAAGAACTGACTGAACTAAAAATCTCTTCTTCTTTCACAAAGATGTCTCCTAGAATCTGCACAAACTCACTTAAATCACATGCCCTGTAAAACTGTAAGTAATTTTTCCTGATTTCTTTTCTGCTTCTTTCTCCTTTGTAGTATCTGAGGTCATCTCATTGCAAGACGTAGTACAATACGAACTAGGTATGAGCTAGAAACAACTTAATGTGAAGGGGGGGGGGGAAATCCACTCAGAGAATAAATGATAGGACAAAAACTATCTTGGAAACAGTTCTGGAAACTAATCATAACATAAAAGATGAATTGCTTTTTAAACAAGACTGTTTCTTGTTTATCCACCACAGACTAAAAAATCCCAGTAATTCACTGATGTCCACATGTAGGCCACTTCTGCAATCTAAACTGTGTTATCTTTTCGCCTGGAGGAATCCATGCAGTATCTAGTTTTCTCAAAACCTGTTCTACATTAAACCTCCAAGGAAAGAAGATGCTTACTGCTGCTAGTAGTCTCTGAGGCTTCTGATGCAGTAGAAATATTATCTGAAAACTTTTCTTCTGTTGCACTGAAGTAATTAAGACCTCCCATTTTGTCTTCTCCCTGTTCTGAAGTATTGGCTGCAGCAGCTATGAGTGAATTCATACCTCCACTCAAGACAGATGAAGGCTCTATCACAACAGGGTTTGCATCCTAAAATTGGTAGGCAAGTAGAAAAGTTAATTTTAAGCCAACATCAAAGACATTTAGCATCAGCCACATCAATCACCAACATTCACAGCTGTGTGACCACTTTTACATATCACACTGAGCTTTATAGAAAAAAAAAAATACTTTCTAGATCTACTGATGAAAAGTCTGCAGAAACAAACAGCCAAAATTATTAAACCAATCAAATAAACTCTTCTGTACAATATAAAAATTGTGAAATACCAGAATTATTTTCTCTATCTAGATGCATAAAAAGACAACCATTTTAGACTGCTATAATTACAGACTGTAAGTATTTGAAGATTTCTCCTTGTTGAATTTCATATGGTTAAATGAGAAAGCAAGCACAAGAACAAAAAACACATTCTTTCCTCAAACCTGCAACATTTTAGTCTTCCCTAACTTTGTTTTGAAACAAACTTCCCTTGTTTCCTTTGGAGAAACAGCACTGCAAAGGCAATCTGGCTTGTTCTTAGGCAAGATAAAGGTGGGAAAAAAAATTTGCATCCCCCAAAAGCACAACTTGCCAGTCCACTACAGACAAGATGTAAGAAGAATCCTACCCAATTTAGAGCACCAGTCACAACAAGAAACATCAATAAATGAGAAACAGAAGAAAAAGGAAATTAACTGAGTCTTAGAGAGGAAATAAAAAAATCCATGCAATGAACATCACTGGAAAAAGTGTTTTATGTTGTCCCTTATTTATCACATCACTAAACATAATATCTTGTCAAATAACAAAACTGTGCAGCAAAGCTAAAAGTATAAAAGACTAAAAAGTATGTTGAAATTACAGTAATCATTTACAGAGTTTCATGGAAATTCTGAGTGTTCTCTTTGCTCAAGAGGTAGACAGAGTGACTAATGGCATTGTGCTATTATGCAAAGGATTACGTATGAAATCATGTGCACATCCGAGTACTTATACTATGACAAGGATCAAATTACCTAGTATTTCAGGCATTTAAGCCATCATTTGTCCAATTCATTGTGCACAAAGAACAACTGTAATTACATGGTTAGTTAATGCATACATTGCAGTTTTCCAAATATTTTTAGGTATTTGTATTTATAAAATAACTCAGATACTTTTATGACGACTTATCACTATCTAAAACTCTTTTGAGAAGTAGTTTATTTCACTTACTCTACATTCTTGGTTGTGTAACCTGCAAAGAACATTTATCTCCACCTTAATTAAATTTTATTAAATTTAATTTTATTAAACATGCTTTCTTTTGTAAAATTCATAGTGATGCTTTAACTTGAATATTTTAGTTGGAGGGTATTAAAGAGCACCCTGTAACTATAAGGTTACAGTACGACTCCTTTGATCACCATCAGGTACTGGACTACTTTTTGTCATTGCCTATAAATCAAATTATGCCAACTCCCTCCTTTATTTGTCCAGAAAATGCATAGTGTGTATTTGTGGCCCAAGCAAAGTCAAAACCAAAACAGGCAGCTTTATTATCAAATGGCTCAAAAGACTTAAGGGAAGTACTATTGTGAGAGTGTATTTTTGTTCAGAAAAGTATTTTGACACGCAGGAATGATGAAACAAAACACAGAAAGAAGTGACAGTTTAATGAAATTATAGTGAAAAGCTCACCATGTGACAATGATTCAGCAAAACAATTATTTTCCACTAAGAAACATGCTTAATTTCAAGCATTATTGGTTAAGCAGTCATTTGCTCCCCACTCTTTTTTCATCAACACATTCACAAATACAAAGAAATCACTTATTCAGTATACATTATTATTATACTTACATATTTGACATATTCTTTCCACTGGTGCCACCATGGCATTGCAATTAGAAACCAGTTGTGCCCTGGCTGAAGGCCATACCTGCTTTCTCTTTCTAACCAGCCTCTGCACATAACGAATGAACAACATGAAGAATTAGTTGAAACAGGGAAATTAAAGTCCTTCTTTTGAAAATACTAAAAGGTGATTCTGAAACCCAGTTAAGATTCTGAGCAAAACATGTACCTAATAATCTGTCCTTCCTCTTCTGGAGTGGCAGGTCGTAGCCCCAAAACTATATGACACACCTGGAAAAAGAAAGGAATTCTTACCTAAGAACTACACTACTATGGAACAAGCATTAGGTAAATGAAAGAAAAGAACAACTCTAAGGGGACTTCAGAAAATTCTTTTTAATTATGTAGCAAGGTTACCTAAAATTGAACAAATCACTAAAAAAAGAAGTATTTTGAGCTATGAGATTCACAACCTGTTCCCACTGTTAAGACAAAAATACCAAGAATGTCAAATGCCCCAAGACAATTTAAGGTGAACAGAAAATGCATGTTCATTATTTTCACGTCTGAAGCACACGCTATGAATGATCACAGTAACTGACATGCATCAGATACATATATACATCTTAATGTTTTGTGTGTGTGTATATATATATGTATATATGTACTGGAGAGAGGGAACGAGGAATTGGGAGAATGCAAGCTGCTGGAAGAGGATAAGCCAAAGGTTATAAAAAAACCAAACAAACCACAAAATGGAAAGGGGAAAAATGGGGAGAAATGGTTATATAAGGGACTGAAAGGAAAATGAGCACATGAAGAAACCGAGAAGTTTAAAGCAGTCCAACCAACCAGTCACCACTGAAAATGCTCTCAAAATGGTAGAACATTTCTGAATGTCTGATGCTTCTTTTTTTTTTGCGCACACACACACTTTTTTTTTTTTTTTTTTGAAACAAACACAGAAGAAAAAAGGCACCATCCCCTAGATGGCTACTCGATTTGGGTGGGGTTTTAGTCCAAGTACAAGACAGCAGTCCTAGATGGCTAGTATTTTACTCCTCTCTTCCTAGTAAAACCGTCCTGGCCTTGGCTGCAGTGACGTCCCTGGCTGGTTTCTCCCAGCAGCTCCCCAGCCACAGGGCATGTGGCAGGGAGTGATGAGCGGAGGGAAGCAGACTCTGCGGGAGTCTTTGTTTCCCGTTGCAGGGAGGAGGGTCAGCTGTCTCTTCTCCGAGACGGTTTTCAAATTGGTTGCTACTCATAACATGATTCATAGTCTTTTCCTTATGTCTCTTTTGAGGCTATCAATTTGCATCTCAGCTGGAGATTTCTAATGACTGGTGAGATATCTTATTTAAATTTATATTACAGTGTGAGAGACCATTGCACATTCTGAATAAAACAAAGGCCATTAGCTGCTGGGAAGCAACAGATTTTCCAGCACACACAACACAGCTGGCTCTGATGTTTCTTTTTAAACTCATGTAACACTATGCAAGTATCAGATTCTTCATATAAGCTAACCCCGCTGCAAACAAACCAATTTGTTGTCAAGCTTTCCAAGGCGCTCCACTCAGACTACTTAGCTTTTCTGTCTGCAGATGAGACACACAAGCTCATGACAGTCGAAATAAATGCCCAGACAAATCAATGGCAGACTCTGTCCTGTGTGAGTGTGCTGCTGAGCCTGCAGCATGAGATGAGGGTGCCTCGTATGATAAAGTTCTCAAAGGAAATAAAAATAAAAATCTAAAACAAAAATGTTTTAGTTGCTAACTCTCTCAGGAGAAAAAAAAATTGTAAATGAGACCTCCAACAAGCAAAGTGTAACAACTGTGATGTGTAATCATCATCAAAAATTTATTAAACATTCATTCATTCTACCTCAATACTGCATAAATATTTGTTATTTAATCAATACTAAGCTATGATAGGATATTTGACCCCATACAGTCCAAAAATAAAGTCAGCCGTTCTTGAGAAGGTTGTGATGTAAGCAAAACCTGAAGCAATTAGAGATAAAAAGAATTTGCAGAACTTTCTGATTTTATTCTTTTCAGCTGTGGTGTAGCTGATGGCCTCAGGATACGCTCACTCAGTCCCCATTAAGTTCTTGGAAAAGTATAGTTCAAAATGCAATTTATAAAGTAGTCTAGGGTCATAAACAGGAGAATCAGTAGTATGCTATTCAGGTAGCCTCTCACAATAATTATTTGTTTTTTTTAAACCCACACCGCTTCTTTCTGATGAAATATTTCTCTGCTACAATCTGACCGTGTAACTGATTAAGCTTCACTCGTAAGATGAGAATGGAGTCCACTGGTTCCCCCTGGCCCTCCCTGGAAGAACTGAGACTGTCATACGGGGCTGGAGGTGAATACTAAATTAGGGTAAATCTTCAAGGCTCCATTAGGATTATTATTATTTAAATTCAAAGTATCAACCTCTACAGAAAACAGGTAAGGAACAAACTGCAGTGAATGAAAATACTCTTAGGGGGTTATTTTCTGCACAAAGTAAGTCAGCACTAAAATATGACTGTTTTAAGGATTTATAAAAATCCAATTCAAGCTCAATTAAAAACAAATTCAGTACACACTTAATCCTCAGCTTCTGCAACACAACAGTGATATGATATCACAGCTTTCAAGGACTGCTCCATTAAAGAAACCAATGAAAGGTTCCTTAGACAGCCTTAACAGAAAGTGTAAAGGGAAAGTGGTTGTAAGGAGTTAGCAGTACCTTTTCTCATTTCCTGTGTCACTTTCTTGGCAAAGATTTGCAAGAACAACTGTTTAAGAACACAGCCTTTCTCTAATGGAAAATATAACTGCTGATACACTTGAAATTTCTTTTCATTTTATAAACAGTACACTACGTTCACTTTAGCAAATTATGCTTTAGGCATCTCCATACACTGGAAAGAATAATAATCAAATAGAGAATCATTTCGTCAAGGTAATGCACAATTGCAAAAACACGTAACTTATTGCAATAGACAACACTGTAAGCACGGTGACACAAATGCTGATGCTGCACTTTGTGGCCACGCAAAAAGCTCATGACTTAATTACCATAATTTTCAAGTTTAAACTTCCTCTAAACATACCTGAAAAAGTAGGTTTAAAAATTCATTGGCAAGTGCACTCTTTACACTCCATATCTGGTAGTCCTCCAGAGTGAGGTGTCCGAGCTTAGTTAAAGGGAGGAGAAGGAAAGGGGAAGGAAAAAACATCAAACCATTAACCTATTTCTATTAAAATGCTCATTAAATGTATCATACAAGGCATGACAAAGCCAGTGATTTGATAAAAATTAGAATCTACCACTCTGATAATAAAATTTGGTCCAATGAAAGAAGAAAAATCCAGTTTTAGCATAACATATGCAACCTAGAGAACGAAAAAGCTTTGAGACTACAGAGGATGAACTATGCACAGCATGTAACCTTTGCTCCTGCTCTCCATCATTCAGATTTAGTATTCATGTCAACTGCAGTGGTCATAGTCTCAAACCATGAAACCAGCAGATGCAGTATGTGACTGCTCAGGGCAATCACTGCGTAGGAAACAAAACAAAACTAAGACAATCTAAGACTTTGATCATCCAAATGAGCTCTGCACATAAAGATACTTGCATCCATTCAGAAACCCACCATCTTCCTCTGCGGGTTGGGAAAAACTATCTTGGATCATCAAGTCCTTATGATCTTACCTTACAACACAAGTCCTATTAATTCTTAATCACTTGCAAAGTTACAGTAGCATAACACTGAGCAATGTCAGAGGACCTCCTGATTTTCAACAATTCAGTGATAGGATCAATCTGAATTTTTTCCATTGTAATATAACTCAGTCATTTTTACAGCAGTGCAGTTACTCCGCTTCTTCTTACAGACCATTTTCTCCAGAGTTCACACAGGTCAAAGCTAACATGTGAAAAGAGGTTAAGTAATTTATGTAATTACTGCACCATCAGCTCTTCCCAGCACTACATTCATGATGCAACTATGAAAGATATTCTGAAGACTTAGTCAACTTTTTTAACTTTTTTTGTAGGAACAAGACTGCTATACGCTTGCTTATAAACTACCCTTTTTAAAAAAGCAAACAATAAAAACCTCAAAGGATGAAAGAAAGGGATCACTGGAGCCATATTTTCTACTGCTTTGGTAATGAAAGAATTACAATAAAATATTTGCCCACCACTTTCTTGGGAGTACAAGCAGGCAAGACAACTATTCAAACAAGTAACTAAGCATTTCCAGACATTCTTTATAGTTTTTCTTAAATTATTTATAGTTTCCAGACACTCTCCCTATAGTGAAGCAAAGGATGAAATAATGGAAACAACTTCCCCTATATGGCTTGCAGATGATAGCGCCTATCTCGAAAAAGCAGGAACATAATTAAAGATTTACACACGGCTAACCATAAAGCACAATATAAACTACTAAGACTTCTTGCTGTGTGTCACGACAGTCATGACAGATGCCTCCATAGTTTCACAGATACTTAGCTCTGAAACAATATCGTCATATATAGTTCACTGGTTGTATATAATATTATTGCAAAGTAGTTTGATAATGATAATGCATAAGTTACTGAATTAATACAGTTCTATTCCAGCATAGGAAGATAATGTGTCTTTACATAGCATAAAATAGAAGATACACTAATGCACTCCCCCTTTTTTCATAAGATCATTTTTAACATGAAACAAAAGAACAGTTTCTCCAGAACAAAAGTCAAGCATCAGATTTAAAACTGGTATTAATTATACACAGCAAAGCCTTGCAAACAGTATATGCTTCAAATTAATTTCATCTGGTTATGTATTTTTGGTTTAGTTTCATATATAAAAAAGGCTTATAAAATTCAAACATGTTCTTTCTCTCACAGAACAACGTGGAAAATTTTAATGGAAAATTGACATTTCTTGAAAGAGATTCTTTTATTGACACATCTCTGCTTTAAAGAAAGCACAAGATTTAACTTTCTTATAAATCAACTGAAGATACTAGAGTATAAAAATGACAAGGAAAGAACAGCAAATTCCTACCTTTGTGGTATCATGCATATTCAAAATATCTTCTACAATTTCAGACAAATCCATGTCCAATTCCTTAACAAACAAAAGGATTAGAAAACGGCATTAAATTCTCACAGCGCTCTCTGGAACTGCATGTGTTCAGAATAAAAATATAACTGTAAGAAATATAAGAAATGTTGATGATACCTCTATGTAATTCACAACTGAGTGCTTCCAGACAGTTGTACTTTTGTACCTAAGGTTTCTTTATATGAAACAGCATACATTATAGTCAAGTCATTCTGCTTTGGTTAATGGCAGTTCAAAGTTGTGCAAGGTAAGTTACATCCAGTTATCAATACTCCTCAGCTAAGGTAGTTCAAGGAAGCCGGTATTTCACTGAAACCATGTTCAAACAACATTCACATTCCTACTTTTGAAGGATGACTTTAAGAAACAGAAGCAAATGAATAAAAGAACAAATATAACTTACAGGTATTTTATCAGTACGGTTATCTTTCCAGACCTCTAAAAGTGCAACCACCATTTCTTTAAGTTCAGTGCGAGACAACACACCATCCCGGTCAATGTCAAAAACCTTGAAGCAAACTGAGAAAAAAGGAAATTACTTTTCTATGTTAGAACTACTCAACAACTATTTTTTTTTTTCTTGCAGAATGTAAGTCTGCAGAGTCACAAGAACATGATTTAGTGCTGACAGTTTTGATGAGGCAGGATGCATGTGTGGTAGTGAGGAAAGGGAGCAGCTGTGTTTAATAAACTGAAATCTAGATTCCTGCAATTCTGTGCTGTGTTTTCTGATGTGACATAGCAGGGAACATATGTGCATCCAGAAATTTCCAGTGAATGATAGCTTTTCAGTTGCAGCAGTATGGCTTTGGAGAAGTATGGAACAAAGGTATTTCAAAACACAAGAACCTTGCAGGGAGCCAGCTGAAAACTGGACAGTAAAAAAGCCAGAACATGCTATTTACCACAAGACAACCAAACAGGACATTTGTTTTATATTATATCTAATGAATAGATAAGTGTTTGCCCTTTCTATATTGAGATACACACTTCTGCATCATAATGCAGAACACTGCAAAATAACTTCTGAAATATATTTTTTTTCCCCAACAGGTTTGTAATTTACAGAAAGCTTTGGGTAAGTTCTAAAATATACAGAATTAGGTTTAATCATCCTTCATAAAAGGAAACCTTGATATTTAAAATTCCTTTAGTTTTTTAACTTCTAAAGTCTGTCACCTTTCACAGACTCACGTTCAGTGGAAAAAATTTCTAAAAAGGTGGAAACAACTAAACTTCATTGCTCAAACTGAAAAACTTCTCTAAAATTAACAGTTAACATTTTGCATACTTACACTTCTGCCTTTCTGCCAAGGGTCCCCTGCAACATGCTGAGAGCCCACAGGAAATTTCTTTAAAATCTATGTGATTGTCTCGGTTTTCATCAAAAGCATTGAACAAACCTGCAAACCACAAAAGCATCTCCTGTAACAGCATCTGGCTGAAACAGCTGACAATCATACTTAGCATTTGCATGAAGGGTTAATGGTTAACATTTGCAAGGAGAAGTACAAACACTTATGATTATAACTAATTTTTACTAAGTGTAATAAAGATAATTAAGCACTACTAAGACCGTTTTAAAGGTGAATTAGATCACTCATGTATGGCTAGACAAAGTGGGGGCCGGGGGCGGGGTGGGGAGGGAATCAAGAATTCTGAACAGTAGCCTTATTTTCACACCTTCCTTGTAATGACTGATTTATAGAGTGTACATCTAAACCAGTATGGTCAGGACAAGCATTTTCACAAAAGCTAAAGGACCAAAATAGTAAAGGTACTCAGATGCCAAATGCTTTGGCTTTTCCAAAGTACCTGATAGAAACTCCTATGAAAATCACTGAATACCATTGCAGATTTGGCCCTAAGTGAGTTAGGAGTTTTAGTTACCGGTCTTCAAAGGATTTAAGAGTTCTATTCATTCAGCACATATAACTTGGTTTTATCCCATAAATTTTTTTTTTTAGTGACAATGACTCCGTTGGACTATCCACAGAAGACGTATGGAACGACCAGAAACCATTCAGGTTTCCCCACAGCAGCTGTGTAAATTTATATCACTAAGTAGATAAAACACACTTAAGGAGCAAAAGGATGTGGGGATATATCCCTATTGAATTGAACCTAAGTTCTGGTGTTTTAACAGCTTGCATCCACTGCAGATGAATTTCCCATTTTGTACTTGCTGCTGCCACTCGTCAGTAAAGCTGACCATTTGGTGATAAAAAATTGTCACTCTAGCTAGGACCGCAGACAAAAACTAGCATGTAAGTGGAATGTTACTTAATGTCCTTATGTTGTGCAGTAAATGGCAATTAGACAATTGCAACCTCCGGTTATTATCAGAGTAGCTTCAACTTGAAAGACCAGCTTGGTTATTAACACGTCTGCATTGCAACACACAAATCTCCTGACCAAGTCTTCTGAACAAAATCTTCCTTAACTTACACTATTAGGGAAGACCGTTTCATCAACTGCACGATACAACTTCTGACTTGCATGCTGAATTGTCATTTAATAGATGAAACTCACATTTGACAGTTTAAAAATGGTCTTCTATTTTCTCTCATTCAGGGACAGCAGTATACTTTGTCATTACAGAATCTTAAGGAACCCAGTGAAAAATTTTAAGCAGTCTACAGGGCAAATTATACATAAAGTTTGACATATTTCCTGACAACTAATAAGAATGCAACACATAGAAGCACCACTTCCTTCGTCATTCCAGATTTCCAAACAAATACAGATTTCTCAGGCATCTTTTCTCATTTTCAAACATTCAGAACTCAGTGGAATGCATCTCTGTTATTTAAGCTTAAAATACATTTTAAAATAGGCCCACTTTTAAAGCCATAGAATTTGTATGTCAGTAGACCATCAGGTTCTGAACACCACAATAACATCACTTCCTCGCACATTTGATCGAAGTTCCATACCTTCACTCAGAGATGGATGAATAGGAGGGGAAACTAAGGGGGCAAATGTTTCTAAATCAAAACGTCCAGTTCTTGATTGAGCTTTTAGCAGCCAGTATCGTTTTTCGAGATCGATGATGTCGGATTCTTCCACTGTATAATCAACAAAAATAAAAGAAACTTTTGGTAATATCTAGACCGTGTTAGAATTCAGCACCAAATAAAAATGCAGCATTATTTTGTCACACAGAGAAATTATGTTCACTTTTTTGTGCTTGACTCCTGCATATAAAAATACGAGCATCACACAGAGAAATTATGTTCACTTTTTTCTTCTTGACTCCTGCATATAAAAATTAAAAATATGAGCAGTAGACAAATAAAGATCCAATTTTACCTTCTTTATCTACAGAATCACCTTACCTATTCACCATCTAGGAGTTCAACATCAATAACACATCATCACAAGTGTTTAGAAATACAGAAATAAACTTTTCCCACTGCTAAAGGCTGCAGCAGTCTCTTCATTTTCACATATTTCTTCTTGGTGAATTGAACAGGTAGATTTATGTGCAATATCTTATTTTCCCAAGGTATCCACTATTTAAATCCTCTAAAAGGATGCGAAGTAGCATTTAAAAAAAAAAATCCCAGAACTCTTACGGAAAAAAAAAAAATTAGTACTTGGCTGCTCTTGAAAAATTCCTTTTTTCAAAATATAAAATAGTTTGTTTCACTTTATTATTTATACCATAGATGCACTTAGAAACCCATTGGGGAGTGATTATACATGCCTAGAAGACACTTTATACGGAGGAACTTACAAGCTAATTCGAAGAAGGGGAAAAAAACAAAACCCCAAAACCAACCATGAGTAAAACAAGGTGCTGGGCAAAGGTGAATAAAAATAGCCAGAGGAAGAACTTTTGTTTTCTTTCAAAACATTATATACAAATGCCGGTCTCCTTACGTTTTATCTTTGAAATTAAATATATATATATAAAAATATTAAGTTTCTGCTCAACAATACTTTTAGCCTTTTTACATATCCAAGTGTGTCACAATGCTGCTTTAGGTCAGTGCAAATTAATTGGTTCTCAAATAGATATGAAATGACAAAGCTGTCTATATTAAGAACCACTGCGTGTGATCCCATTCCCAGATGGTTCTGAGTCTTAAATCCACGCCAGCTTTCTAATAGGTTTAACTTGAGCTATTTGGCCTGGTTTAGTCCACAAAAACAATAATAATCCTGTAAGGCTTAAGAACAGAAGAGACGCAAAAAAAGTTGTTTATCAAATTGAAATTTTATTGATTTCTTTTCCTATTTCTGTCATTAGGAGTAGTAATTTAATCAGAGTAGTAACTTAGGTAAGCTATAGTAAGCATGAACTAGTTGTAACTACCTAGCAGGCACATCATATAATGCATCAAAAACTACACAATACCTTACCCTCATCAGCAGAAAGTTTGGAAAAATTCTGACAAAAGATTAATATCTGAAGGAGAGTTGGAGGAGTGGAAGGGGTTTGCATCTTCCTGTAAAATATTTTTAGGCAGTCTAACTAGAAAAGTAACATCTGAGAAAACATGTCCTCCTTTTCCTCCGTACATTCAGTACAATCACTAGACAGACCATATAAGAGCATGCAGAACACCCACACCAAAGCTGCAGTTCTAGGGTCACATTAAGCTAACACAACTTCAGGCTGAACAGAGACAGTTTACCTTCCCCCTTAACCCCAGGCACGTGCTGCAGCATCCTCACTTGCATCATTATCAGCTATTGTGCATTTGCTTAGTAATTGAGATAAGAGAACTGATCCAGAAGAAAAACTAAACGGATTTCCTTTCTCCCCTCCCCCTCCTTCCTAGATGGATCAATTCCCTTATCTGGCTTACCATCTCCTGGCTCCTGATTGTGTTGTATTCACAGAATCATTTGGGTTGGAAGGGACCTCTAAAGGTCATCTTGTCCACCCCCCCTGCCGTGGGCAGGGACATCTTCAACTAGATCAGGTTGCTCAGAGCCCCGTCCAACCTGGCCTTGAATGTTTCCAGGAATGGAGCATCCACCACCTCTCTGGGCAACCTGTGCCAGTGTCTCACCACCCTCAGCGTAAAAAGTTTCTTCCTTACATCTAGTCTGAATCTACCCTCTTTTAGTTTAAAACCACTACCCCTTGTCCTATCACTACAGGCCCTACTAAAAAGGCTGTCCCCAATACATAAGGAAGCAGTAACCTAAACATATAAAGGAATGTTATTCTACTAGAAATCAAGAAAGAAATAAAGCAGTTATTTCTTTGAAGATCAGCATATAGAAATATCATAGGTGCTTAGGACTGCCACAGATGTAAGCAGCTTCATGATCCTAAGCAGAACAGTTAAGTGATGTAAAACTGCATCTGGTATGTTCCAAGAAATACAGGGATGTCTTGATGATTTAACGACATACCTGCCCCACAATGGTCAGCTTATCAACAGATGAGAAAAAATCTGCCAAATAAAATACACTTTCCCTCAATCTTGTTGCCTCAAGGTACCAACAGGTATTGGGGTGCTACAGTACTGATAAGAAAGAGCTCGCAAGACATGACATTAGGACTAGAGTACCAGTATTCTGCAGGAAATACAAGAAAAAGTATATTCATGGAGTTTCAAGAACAGAAATAAACAAAAAGTAAAACAACAAATGAAAGGTAAAAGCCACTTTATGAGACAGAACCTTAAGTAGACAAAGAGAATCACAGTACTATTCTACTACCTAAACAACTGCACATAAAGGGCAAGTTTGTACTATCATTTAGAAGAATGGCACATACACATTATTGCTCTCATTAGCAAATACAAAAACATTATGCTAACTCTCTTGAGCATGAGCATGTAAATCACTTTGTTTCCTTTTAATCTACCTTTGCGACTAGGAAGAATAACAAATGTGCTAGCTGCACTTCATTCTCAAAATGATGCAACACTAAGAACATTCAAAAAACATAAAGGAAGCTTACATTGTCTTTTACTGAAGAGTAAATCTGCAGAAACCCGCTTTCACTGGCAGGTGGCTTATTTATCTTTAGTAATTAAGAACTGAAAGATAGGTTCTCTGGCAAAATAAAACATTCTCCAATATCTACAGTAGAAGCTAGTAGTGCTCCATTTTTTAAATTGTACTTCACAGATAGTTTCTACAGTGCTAACTTTATTGCTTTATTATTTTAATGTCAGAAAAGAAAGGTTATCAGAAAGCACCTTATCTGCATTTCTGTCAAGCAGTGGTTGAAATTACACGGTCATTTAAAAGACAAAGAATTTTCAATTAATCATTTTCAAAAGAATAGCTGATAAGTATTAGCGTAAGAGCTACACTGATATGATAGCCAAGGCAGGTCCAGTGTATTGACTTTCCACAGAAGAGCCAAACATTTTAGAAAGTAAAAGTGACAAAGTAGTAAATAACATTCTTTGTACTGATTAGACTTACACAACTTAGGTTGAATACAAGTAAAAATGTGACAAAAGAATATTTTTCATTCAGAGTAACAATGAATTGTAGCAATAGTTTCACTTACATAAAATAAAGAAAGATTAATTGGATTACAGCACACGGGAAAGTTCAACTCTGCAGTTGAAAAGCCAGCTGTTACATAATTTGATTTCCCCAGAGTGATTTTTTGCACATGATCTTGTAAATCAGTCTCAGGATATGTAGTGCACCATCTATTCCTCCATAAATGTAAACTAAAAGAAATCTCTCGCAATTTATGATATACATATAATCGTATTTGTTATTGAAGTTTAAATGAAGCATGATAAAAGCAGACTGCACTTATTATCCAAACATACTAATGTGTCTGAAAAAAATGCCATATTCTAAAGAAGTTTTATATAGACGAAGGATTCTACCTTTTCAAAGTATAAAATTTTTTTCCTAATGCCTGTTCAAATCACATCAAGAAGCGTGAACTGGGCTTTCATTCGGTAGTTCAAATTTTAAATAACTTACAAATATTTTTAAAAATGTATCTTATATATACAATATATTCCAAAACACCAGAACAGACTGGCTTTCTAGGCCAAGTAAGTATTCACTTTTGTCAATTAAACACGATACGATTATTTGAGCTGACACGGAAATGTTATGCACCTGTGAAATTTAACCATACACTACCAGTTTACTACCATATGCTATTTTATGTCTCCCTCGTCACTTGTCCATTAAAAATATGAAAAGCTTTCAGATCTGTAAAATTATGAATAGTGTTTCTTAGCTCAATTCTCTAAGAATGGGACAAGTATCATCAGAGGAATGGTAATGTCAAGTACACCTCAAGCTACAGTCTTCATATTGTAAAGGAAGAACAGGTAAACATTTTCAGCAAAAATACGCATCTGAGAAACTGTAAATCTACTAAAAATGAGTTAATTTAAAACCAGCTGCCACCCTGTGATTGACAGTCAGGTTGCGTGACAGTGATAAACACTAAAAAAAAGCATCCTTCATTTTAATGCCACTTCCATGAAATGTATGCCCTTCTTAAATACTACATAGGTAGAAGCCACGAATAATCTTCTGTCTTAGAAAAAAATTTAAAAACATGTTTTCATTTCAGGCACTATTTATTACAAACCTTTATACGACCAGAATTAATTAAGTATTTCAATATATTTTAAAACTTTAATTTTTACCCACCTATTGGTACAATCCTCTCTGGTTCACAGCAGTAGAAGCATACCATATTCCCAACATCTTAACTGAAACTTGATTTGTTTTACTGTTTACCACGATATCCTCCACGCAAAACCCAGTCCCCTGCCACAGAGCACGCTCTTCATTGCACAACGGCCGAGTCAGAACCAGAGACTGAATGACTGAACGCCAAACAGTATTTCTGACCAAACACACTTGTTTGTCACTTTCAAATTAAGACACAGAAGACTCTGGGACCTGGGCACAGAGAGCTGCTTCGCAAGACATAAAATAGCCCGGGAACTAAGAGGATAACAAAGTGGCAAGATGCAGATTAAGCGACACTGAGGCTTTTTCTTATTGGACTAGTCTGCTGGAATACTTTCTTCTTTTTTTTTTTTCTTCCCTAATTGAAAAATGGACAGAGAGAGAAGGGAACATTATAACTTGAACCAAGATCCTT